TTTGAAGAACTGTTTGGCAGACACACAGTGTTCGTCAATATCTGTGCTTGACAAAATCCTTCTTGCAAAACGTTATTATTCTTAAATACCAAGCAAGTTTTAGCTTTCCAGTCGGGATGCGTTTCATCAAACACTATTGGGCTTGGCTTCAAAAATTCTAGCTTTAACCTTATATAAAATACAATTTACAATTAATGTCTTATAGAGTATAGAATTTGCAAAAAATGCAAACTTTATAGAGGAAAGTACTTTGGAAATTCCCGTTTTGGACGGATCACTTCTAAGGGATCCTTCACCTGAATTCCAAATTTCGATAATTGTTCTTCTATTTTGGTATCACCCACCACGCGTTCTCGCTTTACATACCACAATTTTTTCAGCTGTCTACCTATATGTTGCTTGTATAACACCTCCGTGAACTTCATTGTTCTTTATTTGAAATAAGAAGATAAATAATAATATAAATTTTGCAAAAATTTAGAGGTTATGCGGTTTATTAGAAAAGCTTTTCTTTTTATTAATATTAAATTTTTATCAAACTATATAAAAGATCGTACGATAATATTCGATATCGTAACTTACAATAAGAGGTAATGAAATCAAATTGTATGTAATACTTTTTTTAAATCTTCAATATATCTTCGGGGTAAAGCGTAACCTATTTTTCGCATATCTATTACAATTCAAGCTGTATCGGTAATGTAGGATTCTACTATCCTTGTTTTGTCTACGAATGATAAAGCATAGAATGACATAAATAGCGTCTCCCCGAATGCACCGCAAGTAAAAAATAAAGTCGCCTAAAATTGATCTTGAACTTTTTCATAATGAAGGTTACATTCGGATTGGGATACATATAATGGAATTAAAAATTCTAATTAATAAGCAAATATTTCTTTTAGAAATTTTTCTAACGGATATCGAATTAGGGCAAAACTAGAAATCTTATTTCTATAAAAAATTATCACAAAGCCTTGGCAACTTCAGCAAAATACACACACTTTTTATAAAATATTTTTGTATTTAATATTTTACTATATACGTACTCATTTTCAATAACATATAAACCCTCTCCATCCCTTTTTTGTACATATGAATATGATTATGAAAATAAGAAATATACAACAAATGTATATAGATTTAAATTAATTAGTTTTCTTCGCAGCAGCACTAGGATTAAGTATTTTCCGTCTTTGTGCAAACATGTGCAAGTAAAGTGGTGGAAAACCTACAGTGAAAAATATAAGTAGTTATGAATAATTTCATAAATTCATAATTTCACGATTGATTTTTGTATCTACACGTTTTTTATATTCACCTGGAATGTAAAATAGCATAACTGCTATCAGGAGATACAAATAACTAAATGTGAAATTCCATTTGTTTGGTAGAATATAACTCCAAGAGTCAGGATTAGCGTTGGCGTATTTTACAGCAGTATATAAACACAATAGTTCACCAGTTACGCCCAATGGATATAGTATGATGAATGTAGTATATCTAGAAACATGTTTCCATTTAATGCGACTTACATATATGAAAATAATTTTAGACTTAAAATGGTAGAAGAGATTAAACTCACCTCAGCCAGACTAATACACGTGGCACAATACCAGAGATGAGATTTACAAAATAATAGGAGTATCTAATGATCTCTGTAATGGACCATGCGATGAGAGCTAGTGGAAGACCTGGAGACGAAGCAGCATACGTGTAAGGAGTAGCCAGAAGGACTCCGTTTACAAGCATGATACGACTAAAAACTTGAGCCAATGTGATTAAAACATTGGATGGTACCAGCCCGATTCCTGCATGTATTATCTGAAATAAGAAGCTTCTATATAATGAACGATGCATAATTAACACAACACTTTAAGAGATAAATGTACATAGAAGCTAGGTAACACTTAGAGTCTATAATCTATTAAAACATTTCATGAAATTTGTATCTCAGTGTGTGTTATGTTTGTCAATAATTTTAATTAAATTTTAGTCTTAATTTTAACAACTTTTTTGGACTATATAGTTTTTTTTGCTGTTTGATATATTTTCAGTAAAAATAAAAAATCTAAAACTCAATATTTGGCTTAAAGGCTTCAAATAATTAATTATCTGCCTGCCTCATTATATTCAACCAAGTTCTAAGATCGTTGAATACCTCCAATAGAGCTGCATTTTGAAAAATGATTACAGGTAGCTTGGTTTTATTCCACAAGGTATTATCTGAGGAGGAAGATTCAAGATAATATTGTATAATCTGATACAATAAATAACTCCATCTGAAATAAAAGAAGATTTAAACAATAGATCAAAGATAAAGGCTCTCTAGAAATAATCTGAATAAAAATCTTTCAATGCCTATTAGAGAGCCGACACAGGATATTATACAATATTTTTTGCATAAAAAAGTTATTAATTATATGAAAATAGTTCAGAGAATTTCGGATTGTTCATTTTGTTATTTACAAGAAAAAACGTACCCCAAAGTCTGGCCGAGATTATACGACGCCAGATAGAACTTCGAGAAAGTGCTTGGTTTCTTAGATTTCACTCCTGCCATTTTTACGTGGAAATTCGTTAAACGTTCTCAGATAATTCGCGATGAACCAAATTCAAGCTGACACCTTTGCTCTGAAGAATGTAATCACTTTTTAATATGCGCACATGCAACAAAAAAACCTTCAAAAAAATCGTGCGCCTTCGAACATTACGTAATTATTTATAAGAAAAAAAACTGCGAAGTAAGCATGGCAAAGCATCTCGAATTGCAACTTACTCAGCGACTTTTTATTCTTGCAACGATATACATATTTTTAATGGAACACATCGAGTAATCGACGTGGAGCGACGAAGCATTATTATGAATTACGCACTCCCACCAAAACATCAACTCCCACTCCTCTCAGGGTCGAACTCACAAATCACAATCACAACCAGTGCTGCCAGGTGGTTGAAAAATTGGACGATAGATGGTACGCCAAAAAAATAGTAGATTTGAAACTTATGCGGGGTCTACAATAGAAGTCGTAGCAGTCGTAGAGTCTTAAGTCGTAGAAAATTAACCAATCACAGTAGAATATGAGAAGAATAATCGACTATGATTGGTCAATTTTCTACGACTTAAGACCCTACGACTGCTACAACTTCTATTGTAGACCCCGCATAATTGAAGATGATTGTTAAATTTTTTAGCTGCATAATAGGCTTCAATGCAAGAAAATTAAATAATGGCTACGTTCAGCAGACTCAACAGTTTTGCAACCGTTTTGTGATTCTTTGCTGAGATAGGACTATTCCTTTAAAATTAAAAGTATAATCCAATCAACGCGACGAATCATAAAACTGTTACAAAACTGCTGAGTCTGCTGAACGCAGCCAATATGAAGGAAGAAATATGATTGGTCGCGGTAAATAAGATAAGTCATCGCATCTGAGGGATTTGATATACTCTGCATAGGAACGTGCCTCGAGCTTTTACCCCGGATCTACAATAGGTGTTTTAAGCCTTAAGCCATAAGAAATTGACCAATTACAATCGAATCCGAGAAGAATAAGCGATTCGCCCATATCTTATGGCTTAAGGCTTAAAACCCTATTGTAGATCCGGACTTAGGGTCTTCCAGCAGTTCCAGCTCGCATACCATCGAATGATCGAATCGTATCCAGTTGTATTGTTACACGCGTCAACTCGCGTTGCGATGGTCGCAAGTTGCAAGTAGCTTTGTTTTTGTTTGGGCGTTTGATTTATACGCATGAATAAATTGCACGCTACGCGATCGAATCGCACTACTGGGAGACAAGAGCGAATGAGAGATTGTGAGATAAAAAGTGAGATAAAGAAAAACGATAATCTCTTCTCGAAGAGATAAAAACGTGTTCGCGCACATTACATACACTCGCCGACTTTGGTTTTACGAAGGTCTTGCGAGAGACAATTATTCGAAGAGTACGAAATTCGCACGAATTAACTCTGCAAATTGTCGCAAATTGACTCGAGCGAGCGGGGAAGAATGACGCGCCCCGCCAGGATTTTCACCGCGCGAATTATCACATTTGACATAGTTGACTTCATGCATTTTTCGGTCAGCTGTGGTCGTGACTTATGAAGCAATCTTATTTCTGAGATAACGCAGTAAAAGACGCGCGGTAAACATCCCTGCCTAAATCCTCTCACACTCGTATATAGTAAAGTAAGCGTGAAGGGAATTCTCAAAAGCTACGTAATCCTGCGCGGTGGAAAGTTAACGTCAAGATGCATCGTATTGTCGAGTTGGTCGCAAATAGCGCTTTGCTGTGGATTTTCCTCCAGACCACGATGAGTGTGCTGGTCACCGTCCTGTATGAATTTTGCATTCCCTGGATCATTTGGGGCTCATTGATTGTCGTGGTAGCGTTGAAATTGGCCCGAGTGTCCCCTCCACCCACTGGCACCATACAAGAGGTGCTCGGCGTGAATCCGCTCCTCCTGAGCAAAGATAACTCCGTGTCCGAAAACCACGGTAATGGAGAGCAATATTGCATGCGAGTGGTGGCCCACCGTGGTGGAGGATATGATTATCCTGAGAACAGTTTGTTGGCTTTCCGAAATGTAAAGTTACACCCTTCGACGTAGCTTAACTTTTATAGTGTCTAAGATTTCTGTAGTAGTTAGTCTTTTGTGTGTCTTGATCTTATCGGCTTGTTTAATAATTATTATTGCTTGATAATGTAAGGAAGAAGGAACTAAAAATATATAATAATGCGCATTGTCCTATTTAATCTTTAAATATTTCTTGTAACTTTAAACATACTAATTTTTTCACTTATTGTTTGATAAGCATGTTTATTTTAGATGTATTTCATGGTGCATCGTCTAAACTTTTTACAGAGCAGAGGAAAGGGTTGTAGTGCAGTGGAGCTTGATTTACGCCTAACAAAGGATAACATTCCAATAATATTCCATGATTCAACAATCGAAAGACTCACAGGCCAGACAGGAACGATTAGTGAAATGACATGGGAAGAATTGAGGGAATTTGATATAACTTATAATCACCCACTTAAGTACGATTATATGTATTTCAACTTAATTATAATCTTTTGTATAAAATACATGTCTATAATGTATCTCAGAGTATTTTAACAGAGAAAAATAATTATTTTGCCAAAGGAACAAATTTTCCGAAGGCGAGAAGATCGCACTGTTAGACGATGCATTGCAAGAATGTCTGAACAGCGAGCAAAGAATAATTATAGATATAAAAGAGACAAGGCTGGATGTTGTGCAAGTTGTTCTAGACGCTTACAAAAAATACCCAAAACTGTTCCAGAGAGGTGTCGTGTCAAGTTTCAATCCAATCGTAGTGTACATGGTACGTATAATATAAATGTTGATTAATATAAATACTTAAATTATATATATCTACTTCGACTGTGAATATATTTTTAATTGTATATTCAGATTAGGAAGAAAGAGCCGCGTATTGTTTCGAGTCTCGCTTGGAGGCCATATTTCTTCTCGAGAGCATCATACGTCGGTCTGGAAACACTCGGTCCAGTACGATATCGTAATCTGTTTAAGCATTTGGCAGCTTGCATCTTGGAAATTTTGTACGAATGGCTGCTACCGAGTTTTGTCTACTATGTGGTCGGAATTTCCGTTGTGTTGTTGCACAAGGACATAGTCAACCCGTAAGTAACGTTATTATACAATTAAAATTTTCATGATGTCATATATATGTATTCACAAGAACGAGTGTATGCATGTATAATTTTCATTCCAGACGCGTAATCGAACGATGGTGCGAACGCGGTGTCCGCGTCATGGCATGGACGGTGAATCGGCCGTCGGAGAAAGTGCATTTCTCGAGGTTCCTTAAAGTCACCTATTTAACCGATACGCTACATCTAGAGAAGGACATGTAGTGATGTCCGATATATTTTTGTTCAGTATTAAATTTCAAAGACTTTGTACTATATGCTGGCATTATGCACGTACAAATTTTTATACATTCGATTATACGTCATTGATATCAATTATCTAGTCGGGTCGTAAAAAAAATTGACATAACGACTTACATTACTTTAAACATAGGTTATAAGGCACTTATTTTATAATGTCTTGTACAAGGCACATATGCATGTGCGAATAGCGATAATAAAATTATTCGTTACATTGAGGGGATTTAAATGGACGGAGTTATTAATGGTTTCCCATGCTATATAACGAGATTCATTGTAATTAACTACTGAGAGTAAATTAATTACTACATAAAAAATTTTTTTAAGAGTACACATTAAATATAGAACTATAAAAATTATCCATTTTTCATACATTATCGATAATACGCTTCAAAATAGATTGTTTCTTTCATGATTGCACAGATATTACAATAAATATATATGTAAAAAAGACGAAAAAATATCCTTTCAAATATAATGTCCATAATCACATTTCACAATTAGCACTCTAAATATAGTTATTTAATTGTCAGTAATATCGAATGCAATCTTCGTATTGCTTAGAATAATTAGATAATGTAATGATCTCCTTCTTTGGATAATGCGTAATGTCATTAAAAAAATGGCACGATTTATACATCAGGCCGAGGAGAGATTAAAAACGAGTATCTAAGATTATTATAGCAAAATTGCAAAAGAAAAGAAAATCAGTCGGTTACAAAAATTTGTAAACGTATGATACTTAAGTTTATGTTCAAGACGTCTCTTCTCAAACGATAGTGGTAAGTTTACTTTTACGAGATTCCATACCTTCAATGAGGCCAGTCAATAGATCTTCCATCTCTGTTGTGGCACGTTTCAATTTACAATTGTCATTGCCATCGTACGATTCTACAAAAGCATATGTATACATTAGCTATGTACATATTTACATTTCATGCTGCATAACTTACCGTCAAAGCAGTCATTGGCAACCATATTTTGCAGTCTATCTAATATATCATTAAGATCTCCTTGAATATTTTGCAAACTGCTATGTTGCGAGTGTTTGTCAGGACGCTGCAGGGAAGACGGCGTGTTGTCTCTATGAATGCCACTCGGAGATTGAGAAGCTATCAGTGATGTGTCGTTATCTGTACTACTAATTGCCGTATTGGTCGCGTAATTGTTCTCTTTGCAATTTGAATTGCCAGCTGCTAACCATTGAGAGAAACCACTGTCGGTTGTATTCAATTCTCTCCTTCTTGTTCCTAATTTAACAAGTGTCATATATCATATTCATAAATTTATGAATTTCTTTCTAATTATGTTAATGTATTTTGCACTCACCTCCAATCCAAGTACTTAATTCTATATGATTACTTTCTGATATATTAGCGAATCCAGTACTTGTAGAAGCCTCTTCGATGCAAGGAAGAGCATTAGCATTATTCTCTTCTGCTGTACGTTCTATAGGTGACGATGTATTAAAATTATTCAATGTTAATGTGACATTTCTATGTTGCAATTTGGCTCCTGGTTGGTTTGTGTTGTCTTGTCTGATAATCGGGCTCAATTCGAATTCTAGAGGTAAAGCCGTTAATCTAGATGATAAGGGTGGTAGCATCGGGGTACTTTGCATACGAGTGATAATCTGTGGTACTTGGGCCGTATCGGTGAATAAATATTTCTGTAAAAATTAAACATCTTCAGTGAATAATGCCTAAAGAATCTTTAACTTAATGTACCTTAAGTAATTTTAATCGCTGCAGTTGAGATTCGATAGTCGCTCTATGACGTTGTAATCTTTCTGCTTT